GGTGAGGGCCACTTATCTATAACCCTGCTGAAATCTGTGAAGCATTCAGTGACTATTTTTGCCGCTACCTTGAGTCGTGAAGCTGATCCTGCGTCTGTGTGCACAGAGCTTACAGTAACAAACCTCTTAAGCAGAGTCGATACCTTGCTCAACGCCATCTATCAAGTTATCAAGTCAAACAGGTCATCCTCCAGGCTGTGATTGGATGGCTTCTCATTAATCAGCATTAAACTAGGAGGGCCTGTTATACCACTGCTCCTGATGAGCATGTTTACTTTGTCGCTGGAATCTAACCTCTTTCCAGACCAATATAAAATGTCATTTATTATGCCTCGGCACAAAGGTGGTCCCAAACAAACAATGATAACTACCGACCAATCCACCTCACTCCGATATTCACTCAGCTGGTCAGAAAGCAGATGATGAACGTTGTCAATTCTAGTGGCCTGATCAATAGTTTGCAGTATGGTTTACTTAACAAGCGATGGGGCACCACCAGTCAATGGTGTTACCTTAAGCACATTTCAGAATCATTCGATGCCGGCTATGCAGTAGTACTTCTTTTTCTTGACGTACACCAATCATTCGACCGAGTACCTCACAAACGTCTGTCACAAAATTTGGAGAACTTTGGGGATCCGGGACGCATTACTAGGTTGGCTATCTTCATACCTAAATGGTCGTCATCAGATAGTTACTTTAGATGAGTATCATTCTTCTGTACGCTCATTCAACTGTGGGGACATTCAAGAGAGCTTGCTCGGCTCCTCACTCCTGTTACTTTACATTAATGACATCACCACATCTATAAAATGTGGTGACCATATCAAATTAGTCTATAAGCTTTGGCGTGACAAGCTTCACGTGACACTACTGCTCATTCAGGATGACTTCTATTCACTTGAGTCATGGTGCTTCACATGGGTGATGAATTTCTCGGCTAAGAAATCAAGCATCATGTCTTACGGCTGCTGCATCCCCGTCGGATCTATCGCCCTAAACCAGGAACGCGTACCCCTACACAGTGGTCCGCGCTTGATCTTGGAATTAGATACTAGGCTAGGTTCAATTTGTCCGATCAGGCGCAATACCAAGTGGCACTTGACATACTGTATGTATACAGTATATCAAACAAAATAAAAACACAACCCATGCTACAGTTGAGCTTTTAAAGCAAACTCACGACCCATCCTTGAAAACTGTAGCATAATATACGACAATATGAGAACGAGTAACAGAATTGCTATGGAGCACCTGCAGAGGTCATTTCCTAAACGTCTGCTTGGTATGCATTCTGCAATGAGTTATGGAAAACAGTCCAATGAACTTCTACACGAACCACTTTGGATTCAACGACTGAAGCACAGCTAGTCGCTGCTTCCCAACGTGCTACACAAAACGATCTATTCCGATATGCCTGCACTCAACTTCGTAAATTATACCCATGGAAATGCAAGAACACAATTTTGCGAAGAGTACTCTTTTCCATAACTATCCTCAGGCATTTGCGATTATAAAATGGAAATGCAAAACACAAATAGATGATGAATCCAAAGAGATGGGAATAGTGGAATCACGACAAACAGAAACTCGAAAGGCTTGATCAATAAAGTCCACTAACAACACATGTAACAGAGCACATGCCGCTTGATCGGTGGGATGGCAAGCGCATCATCCGACCACTGTGGGCGTGCGGAATAATAAATGTTGATAAGCTAACTAGGGCCAAGGCAAAAGAAGCCTTTGCAGAGAAGCGTTCTGTTTACATAATTCCGGTTGCATTATTCAAATCGCGATCGCTTGGGCTGTTCGTAAGACCTTTCGTGTACCGTGGCTGTACTACATAGAGTACTTGGAAGGCATTAGCGGTCGTAATTTTGTTTGTCGTGATTCCATTATCCACACCCATTTGGTTTCATCAGCTATTTGTGTTTTGCCTTACCATTTTATACTCGTAAATGCATGAGGAGATTTGTCGAAAAGAGTACTCTTCGCAAAATTGTGTTCTTACACTCAAACTACAACATTGCTTAACTCGAATGCTTCGCAAACATGGTTTTACAATGAACAAACCGAAGGATAAACGAACGACCGCTCTAAATTTTCCCTGGACAGGTATAAAAAAGTGAAATAAACGGCCAGTAACAATCATGTTAGTATTTTACAAGCTACATAGCACAGTCTAGTCCGGAAAAGCGCCAGGCGCGTCTCGCACAATTGTAGCTGTTTAGCGGTACGTATTTCTTTGTTCCTCTACTGATCATGGAATCCGTGACCGCTGAAGGCAGATGCCAACTAGCCAGCAGCATAAGACACTGAGCCATGGGAGACGTCTGGGTTACATAATTTGCAAGCTAACTGGAATATAGCAGCACCAATCTTCCACTGTCACTGACAGTGCCTAGTCTGCAATCTCTAAACATCCTTTCTAGACTCAAAATCTATAGCATTTGAAACTAGGAGAGGCTCTTTAGTTTATATTGCTCGCATAGCAGAATTTCAATTTATACTTTTGCTAAGACATGTATCCCAGTATTTCACAAGCTGCATAGCCCAGCCTAGTCTGGAAAATCCCCAGACACCTATCGTGCTATTAGGGCCCCTCTTTTATGCGCATTCCCTGCATCTGCCTCTAGCGGTTATGGGTTCGATCCCAAGTACGGTACCAAGGGAATGCTCACCATTATCGAGCCCCAATATTGCGAAACGCGTCTGGTGTTTCTCCGGACTAGGCTGTGTTATATAGCACGTGAACTACTGTGATGAGTTCCTTAATAACATCACAACTTAAATCCTGCTAATTGCGAGTAATGTGAAATAAATAGCCTCTCCTAATTTCAGATGTAATGCATTTAGCGTCTAGTGAGAGGACGTCATCAGCTTGCATGCTAGCCACTGTTAGTGTCAGTGGAAGGTAGGTGGTGCTATATCCCAGGTGAGGACTTGACAACATTTAGAAGCAGACTCGCTAATTATCTAGATCTAACTATTATAATCTGTTTATTCAAATTGGAAGATTCCCCAAATACACTGTTCCGAGAGGGGCATAATTACACCCAAATACCACTGTTTTCAAAACTATGCTTTTGCCTCAACCATCCGCCAGCGTCTTACTATATGAAATGCACACATCAATATTCCACCTATACATATCATCCATGCAAGATCATGGATACTTCTGTACACATTGATCTGTGCTTCTACAGACACAGTTTCTCGCATCAAGAAAACTGTACGTGTTAATTTATTACTGAAATTCACTAACACTCGCCAACCCAGTTTCATGCGGAGAGGCTTCTCAATCCTTCCAATCCCACTAGGGAATTCTACTCCCTTATTTCTACTCACACATCTTTTAGGATTTCAACCTACCAAGTAGTTTATGTAATTCCATCCAAATTCTTTCGTCCGTAAACCGGTCGACATTGTACTGTTGGATCAACAAGTATAACACTGCTGCTGCTTCTCTATCTATTATCCTAGACCTACATTCCTACCTGGGTGGACGTGATAAGGCCAAAGATTCTGACATCCTCGCATCTAACTTTCTCACAGTTCCGCTCTGGTATGCCGATGCATATTTTCAAAACTTTTGTGATTCTGACGTTCTTTTTATCTGTTCCGTTTGCACAAATCTGAGAAGTGTTTTTGAGACACTTTCGTTATGTTGATTGCTAAGTCAGATTGTGAAACGATGCAGAATACGCCAAACGAAGTGTAAAATTCCAGCAACCAATGCTTTCAGATGGATTTGGATTCCCATATTTTTCAGGCCTTCTTGAAATCAGTTGAACGACAGTTCAGTATGCCGAGAGCTATATCGCTCATCCTTCGCTGACGATTGATTAACGAAGTCGAGTTAGGATATCGGCAAGGGAATATGCTTGATTGAACAGTAATCAACTGTGCTTGTATGGCAGATTAACTATATACTTGAACAAAAATTTCGTTTCTCAGTAAGGAAATCTGAAGTCTTTTTAAAAATAGAGTGAATATATTCAAAAACGTGTGGCCTGAATATGCGGCTTCGTTCAATTAGTATGTCCACTCTCTAAGAAACAGATAAGGACAGTAGTTGGGTTGTAGGATGCTCCTCCATTTGGTCCAAACTAGTGCAGAAAGAGAAAAACATAGTAGATTTCAAGTTCTTAGGCTAAAAAATAGAAGCTGCAAATTCATACACGCTGCGACAGATAACAGCGCAAAATTTTTTTTTCAACTATTTCCATATATTACTGGCAGAAGGCCATATAGATTTTGTCTGTATACTAACTGCAGATATGCGTCATCACAACGAGACATGGGACTAAATTTTCACAGTACTGAGAGTAGTTCAATGACTGCAAGTTTTTGAGTGTTGCTCTCGTTGAGTATACTAAGAACCACTCAGTTGAGGTAGGTGAATGGCTAGAACAGGCGTACTCAGTTTCAGCAGTCCTGTGTCAGTTAGAGCAAAGCACGTCTAACCTGTGACGACGCGTTTTTGCAGTCTGTTCACAATGGTTTTACACCACCTTCCCCAAGGTACGGTCTGCTAATTATTAGACTATCAGCTGCCTCATTTTAATGCATTTGATCTTGACCGTAAGTTCGAAGTAAAGGTTCTGACCAAGTGGCTAAATCTATTGGGTTCATAAGTGATTAAACTCCACCTGATCCGTGTAGGATACTGTAGTCACTATTCCCACCACCATGTCAGTCAATCCGCTGATTCAGAGTATCTAAACGATAACTGTCGAACCAGACTGATTTGCAAAATAGGCAACAGGAGAGTGTGATCCACTGATGAACATGGACCATTAGCTCCATCACTATTATTCGTTTTTTTCCGGTCGATGCATCTCCGTTCAGTCCATTTTTATCATGTATTTTCGGAGTTCTGTTTGACACATCCTGCTCCATTAATATAAAAATTACTGGGCTGAATATCAAAATAAGGAACAAGAAAGCAAAAATGGTCATGCAGTTCATGCACTGAAGTGAAAGTTTAAGTTCAACTTTCAGGGAATGTGTAAGTAGGTTTCTGGGGATAGTGAGAACCCCATTTTTAATCCTTTCAAAGAAGATCCTTCTTCACTTGTCGTCCAGAACCTCCGAGGATGTCCCACCCAAAGCATTTGGCTACCAAGCCGTTGCCAATCAACATCAATCTCCCGACGCTTTCGGTTTTCCGCTTCACAGTGTTCCTCTTCGATACCTGGAAAATCAGAAAGAGTGATCCGATTGGTACCCTGCATATATACATCGTAGCACTTCAGTGACCCCGCGTTGATCAGTAGAACCAAATCAGAAATGGCATGGTCTGACGATCCAAGACGACGAATAAGTTCTCCAGAGCCCTTCCAAATGTACCCATAGTCCGAAATGATGATTGGCCAATGTACCACATTAAAAATTTGGACCCCTTGTCACCAAGATGGGCCCGTTTCGAATTGGATACCCCCGTATACTTGGAGAGTTACCCACGGTATGCCAGTTCTTGGTTATGCGCCGACGAGGCAGCCAAGTCTGCAACAATAATCGAACCGTTTGCGCAAATTATGAGGTCCGGTTTACAATATCGCACCAATAATGGAGTTATGGGTTCAACGTATACCATTACATGCTTCCGCTTGGCAATCTGGGCAATTTTTTGTACTACTCGATGGAGTCTCATGCACCGGGTGTCATGGGTAAGGCAACACTTTTGCAAGATGTGCCGGATGGAGTCTGACTCCCCACACCCACCACGGGACTTGACATCATCAGCCTTCTGGGAGAATACCCTGAGGCTGCGCGTTTTGGTAGGCAAGAGTCCGCCCCTTAACGTAGTAGCACGAATACTGGGGCGGGGAAGACCCTCCAGCCCAATGGCATCCATTGGACGCTCCCCACGTCTTGTTTGTCCAGCTGTAAGCTTTTGCAGCCACATCTCAACTCAAGCTTCTCTCCAGGGACCCCGAAACGGCCTTCTCATATTCCACCATAGTCCGCATGAGGCGGACTGGAACATTGACGCTTCCAATCTCAACCTTGCAAGCCTCTGTCTCCAGAAGCCCGCGCACCAACTCCGATGGCGAAGAACATAGCCGAGTGAACTTGGCACGTTGAGCACAAGGAACAATGATACTCCACGACAGGAAGTCAAGACCTCACAGACCCTGAGAAGTGTAGGAGAAAGGGAAAGAAACATCTTTCGGGTAACGCAAGAACTCCCGCACTTTGACGCGCAACATCTTATCCATTTGCCACATGGTCTTTAGATGAGCAATCCCAAGAACCAACCCCTGAAGCAATATTGGGACATACGAAGTCACGCATCATATCCAGTGGTTGCTGCGGTTTCAAAGGGGCACGTAAGATCTCGTTGGTCCACCCAGCAAGAATATCAGTACATTTTACTTGGCTTCTTCCCTTCCAGTTGAATCGCAAACCAAGATAACGAATCTCATCCGCCACCACAACCGTTTTAATCTCCTCCTCAAACGGGGGATAAGCTAGTGGCACCAGGACGAAGCACTTCTGTTTGCCAATCCTTTTGACCGTGGTGACCCGACACTTCAAAGCGTTCAAGGACATACTTGCAGCCGATAGAGTATGCTACAAAGCCACCAGCTTCACTGATAAGGCCTCTTGGGATGAAGCGAACAACACAAGATTATGCGCGTGTGCCAAAGCACCAATCTCTTCCCCACATAGTCGCACCTCCGATTAGGCAGCGAAGCAGCAGTCGCCAAAACCATGATGCAAGAGAGAGAAGACAGAGGGTCCCCCTGCCTCACGCCTCTGTGACGATCTAACGCCTGGTCGTTAAGGAACAAGTTCGAATAGGTGTAAAACGCAAGCAAAGAATGCGGGAGCTCTGGCGGGTCTCCATGTGCTGCTGCGGCTTGAATAATTGTGTTAATTGACACAGTGCCTAACGTTTTGGCAAAGTCCAAAAACTCTAACTTCGCATTCAGGCAGACGGACTGAAGGACGTATGAGGCCTTAAGACAACCAGCTCGCTTTTGAATGATGACTTGAAGTGAAGACAGAATCAAACGTGACCTCCATCTTTTAGCCAAAACTTTATAAAAGGCCCGCAGCAGAAGCGAAGAAAGCGCGCTCGGACGGTATCCTGACGCTGTGCTTGAGTCCGACCCTTTGAGCACAAACGTCAGCCGTGCTGTCGCAAGAGAGGCCGAAGGGAACTTAATCACCATCATAAGATTGAACAGCTGTGCGCGCACCGTCAATTCAAAGGACTTACAGTCCACCACAGACACCTTACCTGGCCCTGGGGCCGCATCTTCGGCACTCCGCATGGCATCACCGACATCTGCTCCAGACAACGGCGCAATCAGACCATAATCCTGGCCTTCTTCTATGGAAACCGGTTTCTCATCCACTGCACTTTGCACAGCAAATGCAGATCTCCAAGACTCATTCATCATCTGGTTGAGCCCAAAACTTTGTGATTTATACGCGCTCAACCACCTACTATCCAGGTTCGCCTGTGCAGCATCTTTACATTTCTTAGTCCACAGTTACTGGCATAGTTGGCCTTCCGAATGGCCCGCCTGCCAGCAGCAGTCTAGGTTCTCCGTTGACTCGCGGGGTGCCATTTGTGTGGAAAGTATTGCTCGATACTCTTGAACAGACGAACCACGCCTGCACTCTTTGTGAGCGTACCCAGTTGCAACTGCTCGGCAAGCTGAAGCAGCTGACCAGCCAGGTCATCCCCGTGCAAAATGCGCTTCAATTCCATGATGAAATGGGTAAGTATTACGACAGACCATTTGGCAACATTCAAACCAGCCTTAGGAGAGGCACACTCCTCCCCCATCGGCGAGCGCTTGTTGGCCACCGCTGAATCCGTGGAAATCATTATACTTCCGCCGGATTTGTGCAAACAGAAATCACTGATACAATGGCCTCTGTTGCCGTGGCCGTAATGTCGGACCACGGTTACAAGTCAGCGTAACCAATTTAGACCTGCCAGCCAACGCTCCTGTGCTTAATCGTGTGTGCTTCTCCGTCCGTGCTCACGCGTCTCATGACGTCTGACTGTATTGAGTGGACTATTGATCGACTTCGTTCCACCAATCACATCCCCAGCCTTCGCTTACCTGTGCGATTATCTGTCTTGTAATTGTAGTTGCCTGAGTTGAATTGCCGAAATGAGTTCTCTTGGCAAGTTTTATGCTTCTAACATGGCAGTTTGCTCAGGTCGTCATTGTTCGCAATCTGTTACACATTACTGCCAAATTCCAGTAATTATCCAAATGTTGTTATCACATGTATGATACATTTTGTAAATAAAATTGGTTATGTATAGCTGATTTATCAGGAACCCGAAGTAGCTCACCAATGAGTGGCACATCGCCATTCGTTGACTGCTCTGCTTGCAAGAATGCTTAGCTTCCACGCCGATATTTCGTCAAACGTCGGACACAGATGTGACGCTGCACTACATTTCCCGTCACACAAAGCATGTGTATGTTGGAAGCGCATTATCTGTTTCACAGATAAGGCCATGTGCACAAAAAGGCAGTTGTGAACGCCGCTTGGAAGTAGACAGTAATGTAATTGCTAAAGAGTGGACACCCGAAACCGATAGTGAAACATCCGTTTCATAATATTCTAAAACCACATTGGAAATAGACGGCTGAATGAATTAGGACGATAAGAAAATCACAGGTAGAAGGAACTAGGTTTTCTTTTCAGACGGCATTAACCAAGGCGTAACATTCGTGATCTGGTCAACACTGTGTATCTGAAAGCCGCATTTCTCGTAGGTAAGATGACTAACTGCGTTCACAAATGTATTCACAATAACTGTGAATATGTGTGTATAGGGCATATCGCGTGGGAGCTACACACAACGCTGCTAGAACACCTGAGGCGCATGTCAAGACGACGTCTAAGTATACTGCTCTACTGTGAGATTAGGCGGTGACGGCGCACGTGTTAGGTATAGTGTATGTAAGGTGCTCAGATTATTCTTTATCCAATGCTGGACGCTTCCAGATATCTTGTGGTTCAAACCGGGAAACTTAACCTACCCTCGGTTGTTGCTGCCTTTGCTGGCCGTACATGAATTTAAAGAGATAACTATCTGCATTTATTGCTTCAATGCAGTAACAAAGCAAACTTAAGTTATTAGTCGGTAAAGCGGCTGCAATACTGAATTGATGAAGAAGTACATTATTAAATGATATATTTTCGATAGATTTAGTCCCACAACTGACTGCGTGATCAGACATGCATCCCAGCATAGCTGATTTGGAATAGTAAATCGTGTTGTTAAAGTTACGGTACAACCTGGACAAATAGTCACAGCTCCTTCTCGTTAGTTGACGTTGGAAGCTCTTAGTTGCCGAGTTTGTATGAATGCACCAAATTGTGATGTGGATGCAGCATTCTACATTATTTCTCATTGAATCGAAGTATATTCTGGACATTGCAGCTTAGCGTTCAAACCTTAAAAGCCATACTTATGGTAAAATGCAGTTCTGATGTCAAGAGCGCCGTGTATCGTTGCGAACGACTTCACCACATGATGATGCAGCGTCCAGACCTACTACAGAAAATACATTCATCTGACTAGCCGAACAACCTCCCCGTGGTGCCAACTGGTTGGTTCGGGTTTACCTTCTTTAAATAATAGTTCGGCTGCAGTGTTGCAGGAGGTGGTCGCTTTTCGCTTGGCAAACCTTCTCTCTATAAAAAGCTACAAATAGCCGTTTAACAACACTGCGACGTGGCGGATGTGACTGTTAACAAAAGTCACTGCTTCGTACGTATCCGGATGATCTAACCCAATCTACAGTCATGGGTCATTCAATACGAACATTTTATTTCTTTCCTTCTTTCACCTGATGGAAAACAATTATAAATACGTCGTCACATTCTGAAATGCAAGCAAAACAACCACACTCGTTCTTACCTACATGCATTAATACACACTCAACATATGGATCCATATATTACTTATAAACTTGTACCGCAGTTACATTAATCAGTCCTTGTTTCAGCAACGTGATCATGCCTAAGCTGGTGTGTATCTCAGTGTTGAGAATAAAATGGTTATTTATTTATTTACTTATTGCTCGATAACTGTGATTTCAGCAGCACATGTCAAGCAGCACATGAACTTTTAATAGGAAACACTTTTACTTTGGCTCTTGTGCTTATAAAACCATGGATTACAACGTGGTGAAACCACCTTGGCCACGACCACCATGGCAGTAACGTCGGTTTTGTCACGAACCAGCTCCATAATCTTCCTGGATCCCACTATTATCGGACGGACTTCGCAACTGCACAAACTACGCAGTTTGGTTACAATTTTTTTAAACAACACGCTTTACTATTCCAAAGCAGCTATGCTGGTATGCATATTTGAGTACGCCTTCACCTGTGTGCCTCTTTCTATCAAGATTATAACAGTTATTTATTTATTTATAACTTCAGCAGCGCAGCTGCGGTGCTGACTAATAACTTAAGTTTTCTTTGTTACTGCATTGAAGCAATACATGTAGATAGATATCTCTTTAATTTTTTGTACGGTCAGCACATGCAGTAACAACCGGAGGTAGGTTAAGTTTCCCGGTTTGGCCCTCAAGATATCAGGAAGCGTTCTACTTTGGCTCACGAATAATCTGAGCACCTTTCATGGTTGGCGGCATCCGGTTTCGGATTTGCCTGTCACTGTGGCCAGCCACAGGACGCCTGCGCCTACAGAGGGACCATGGATGGCTTGCGCTGCACCACCCACAGCTGCAACCACATACCCCATATCCAGCGTAAACCCGAAGGAATAAGATCGGGAGGCATGCGGATGGGAGTCACGTTTCATCAACGGAGCCGGCCCACACTCCTTCACAGGCAAACATAAGCAGGCTCTATTTGGGGAATCAAGCGCACACAAGGCGGTGGCTGGACCGTAGTCCATTCCACACTGAGTGCATGGAACCACTATTCGAGCCTAGCACGGCGACAAGAACCGTGCACCCCGTCCGCTCCAGCAACGACCAACTGTCTCCTGGAGCCAGTATGAACGAGGAAGTGGGTAATAGACAGGTAGGCACCTTGTCAACATGCGTATCAAACGCAGCGGCACCGGGGATATCAAGCAACAGCCAATCACTTGAGAGAAAGATAACAAAGAAAATAAATCGAGTAATGCATAAAGAACCGGTGACATAAATTTTAAATGTTTGTTCATATGAAATATTTTGTTTACAAAAGAATCCGAGATAAGTTCTGGAGTTCAGAAAGTATATTTTACGGAAATGACACAAAAACACGAAAATGTTATCGAAATTAACTACAGTTGGCTTAAGCTTGTTATGTAGGTTTATAGAAGAGCGCACAGCTGGACATTTATTTGAGAAAGCAAAGCATTAGAACAAAATTGAAAACCCACCATCTGAAATAAAGTGACTTAGCATGCAAGCACGCGGTTAGTAAACCGAATGCAGCGTACCTACAAACACTGCGCCGGTTCTGCCTACATTCTCTGCAGGACCCGTCGTCACTTCGGTAGTGGTCCCCAGGGGCCTCGCTCATAGCCCCCTTGGCCTGCCTGACTCAGACACTCACGACCACATGTGTTACAGCTCCATGCGCTCGATGTCGATGGAGTACAACCCATCGATGCTTGCCGCTTCCGCCATTGCCGCTTCTTCTCTGCATGTATGAGGTCTTTTTTCCGCAGTTCGGCAACTGCTTTCGTCATTAGATCGCGCCATGCACGCCGTTCCACCGCCTTCGATTCCCATGACCTGCAATCAAGGTTAGAACGTGAGAGGCTCACTGTGATCATGTCCTGGTAACGTAACGTTGGTTTCCGCACATGCCGCTGCCAAATACTCAGCGGTCCGTAGAGGAGTTGTTTCGGTATCCGCGTTGAATCCATACGCCACGCATGACCGACCCACCTCAGATGTCTCAGTAAAAGTATGCCGTCCACTGCATACATCCCACTTTGTCGCAACACTTTTGTGTTAGCAACTCTGTCGCCCCAAGTGATGCGCGGAATTCGTCACAAAAACTGTTGATGGAACCGCTCGAGATATCGCACATCCCGCCGGTATATCATCCACCTTTCACTGCCGTATAGAAGCATGGACAGCAACATGGATTTGTACACCACCAGATTCGTGCCAATGGCAAGCTGATGTTTGTTCCACACGCGGTACTCAAGCTTCCCGAATGCCGCCGCTGCCTTCGACATGCGGGTATGCAGCTCACTGTGCATACATAGCAGACAGATCTATTGCCTTCTTGGCAGGAGTGATCGCGGATACTCTTTATAGAGCATCAGCGACGTTTCGCTGACCCGCAAAGTGTCGAATATCAGACGAGCATTGGTGGTGAGTGTCGAGCTGATTGACTCCGAAAGGCGTAGATAAGCGGCTTATGATCAGTGAGGATAATGGTGGTGTTA